ATAAATAATTAAAATGGCAGTGATAAGTCTTCACTTATCAATAGTTATTTTAAATGTAAATGAAATAAATTCTCCAATCAAAAGACACAGACTGATCATTTTTATTTGTCTATCGTAACTCAGTAAAGCAGAAAACATGCGTTAGCACCAAATGGGAAAATCCACCCCCATCATCCAGTCACCTCCCACCAGGCCTACCTCCTACCCTGGGGATTACAGTTCCACCTGAGATTTGGGCGGGGACACAAATCCAAACCATATCATGTTCGTTCAGCTTTTTCTTGTGGTAATAATGAGAATGGTGATTTCCAAACTCTTTGCATGTTAGAGTTGAAACTGGCCTCCATGTAGTCTGATCTACCAAATCTCCACACTTCACTGACCCTTCATTTACAGAATTGTACTTTTTGGAACTTACGAGGTAGAAAACTTTTTTTTTTCTATTTTCTATCTAAAGCTAAAAGTTTGTGTTTGTTTGTTTTGCACATAAACCAGTTTTTATTACTAAGTGATGTAACAAACAGATATCCTTAATGGTGAGATGTGAAAATGAGGTGAGGTGTGGGGAAGAACTCAGTAATGCAGTGAGGGTCTGTAAATAGACAGAGTCTCAGGGAGGGATGAGGGTATAATGTTAGGCAATTCTTCTTAAATAATAGTAAGCATAGTCATAAAGCTGAAAGTGGAATTGTATAGGAATACAGTCAGGCTTACATGAGATTTTATATATATATATTTAAAACCTTTGTCAGATATCAAACTCTGTATGGAGTTTGGAATCCATGCTTTTTTAAGCCTTTATTCTACCTTTTTTTAAAAAAAAGCTTAATGAAGTGTAGTTTATGTACTGTAAAATCCATTCATTCACTTTAATCGTTTTTTGAGGTATTGTAATATTCAGTAGATTTTTAGGGTAAAAACGCTTACATTTACAACTATAATATTCAAACTGCAGAAAACAAAAGACAAAGAGAAAATCCTGAAAGAAGTCTGCGGAGCGGAAGGGGGAGAACACTTTACCTATAGAGGAAAAAGAATAGCAGCATGTTTCTTGCCAAAAACTATTCATGCTAAAAGAGATTGAAGTAAAATATTTAAAGTGTTAAAAGACAAGACGGCTGGATGCGGTGGCTCACGCCTGTAATCATAGCACTTTGGGAGGTCAAGGCAGGTGCATCACAAGGTCAGGAGATCGAGATCATTCTGGCTAACGTGGTGAAACCCTGTCGCTACTAAAAATACAAAAAATTAGCCAGGTGTGGTGGTATGTGCCTGTAGTCCCAGTTACTCGGGAGGCTGAGGCAGGAGAATCACTTGAACCCAGGAGGTGGAAGTTGCAGTGAGCCAAGATCGTGCCATTGCACCCCAGCCTGGGTGACAGACCAAGACTCTGTCTCAAAAAAAAAAAAAAAAAAAAAAATTGACACACACACACACACACACACACACACGGAGCTATATGTTCAGCACAATTAAGCTTCAAAAGTGAAGAAGAAATAAGGACTTTCCCAGACAAAAAGAAAAACTAAGGGAATCCATTGCCCACAGATCTGTTCTACAAGAAGTATTAAGACAAATTCTTCAGGAAAAAGAAAAAGGATACAGGTAAGAAACTCAGATCTATGTAAAGAAAGGAAATGTCAGGGAAGAAATAAATAAAAGTGAAATGCATATTCTTATTAATCGATCTGAAAGATAACTGTTTAAAGTTATAATAGTAACAATTGGGTAGTTAAAATATAGATATAAGTGAAATTAATGGCAGTGATGTCATAGTGGATGGGAAGAAGGACTTAGGAATGCTCTGTTATAAGGTAACTGCACTACATGTAAAGTGATATAGTGTAATTTGAAGGTGCGCTTAAATTAGTGATAAATGCATATTGCAAACTCCAGAGGCACAACTAAAAGTATTCGTAAGAAACATGATGGATATATTGAATGGAGATAAAATGAAATCACATAAAATGCCTGGTTAAAGTGAGAAAAGACAAAAATAAAAGTCAAAGAGAAAAATGCAATAAACAGTAAACAGTTGACAAACATGGTAGATATTAACCTAATTTTATCAATAATTACTCTAAATATAAATGATATGGGTAGATAATTTAAAAGTAGTGACTGCCAAAGTGGATTAAAAACAAACAAAAACAAATAAATAAGACCCAACCATATCATGTTTCCAAAAATCCACTTTAAATAAAAAGACTCATATAGGCTAAAAGTGAAGGGATGGAGAAAGATATACCCTGCCAAAATCAATCAGCAGAAATCTGCTGTAGTTACATAAATTTCAGACAAAGTCAACTTCAGAACAACAACAACAATCAGGGATAAAGTTGAGCATTAAATAATGATAAAAGAGTCAACTTTCCAAGGATGTATAATAATTTTAAATGTGTATGCACTTAGGAGAATATCAAAATATATGAGGCAAAAACTGATAAAATACATAGTTCACTGCATGGTTTTTTTTTTTTTCCCCTTGGTTTTCTCCTGGTCAATCGATACTCCAGAAAGCAGATGGACTGTTTTTAAGGAAGCAACTGATGTGAGTTGGGAGAGGAAGAGCAGATGCTTAGTGACCCTGAGTAGGACTGTGTTAGAGTTGGGGAAGACAGGGCATGAATTTCATTAATAAGTCTATGTAGAACAGAGAACTCTCCAGGGGAGCTCCTGGGCTGTTTGAGTGGAAGAATCTTGAGGGAATGGTATCTGCCACTTTTCCTGTGGCCAAGTCTGCTGCTGTGGGGAAACAAGTACTAGATAAAGGCAACCAATGGGAGATGAGAACAGCTTCTCTCCTGGGCTCCTTGCCTGGACCACCAGTTTCTGAAATTACAGATGGCTCTTCATACTTTCCCAAAACATAAAGCATCAGGCTTGAAATGGGGTTTCAACAAATGTGCCAAAATGCCATTTGCTGATTATGAAGACTGACACTTGTTTAGATTCGAGGAATTTACAGTTGGCACAACATTTCATTGTGCAGGAGGCCAAGTGGAGAAATAAAACCATGCCACTTTAAAACTGTAGTTGTCTGATTTTAAAGAGGACAAAAGACAGGTTGATAATTTTTTTTTTGTTTCTTTTGGTTCATTTTGTTTTTTGTTTTAGAAGGCCCTGCACTAAGTCCTCAAGCCCCAGTCTGGAAGCTGAAGGGTGAGAAAAAAGGAGATAAACAATAAATGCCCTGCATAATAAATGTAAACTTGCAGCACTGTGTGCACAGAGGTTAACTATACAAGTTTCATGGTCCTTAGAAAACTATTTTCTGAGATTACATAGGTAGGGTCTATCTAGATGGCAGACTTGGATACAAGCCTATTTCATGAAAATACTAAGCCTTTACTTCTCAAACTTCAATGTGCACGCATGCTACCTGGGAGCCTTGTTAAATAAAGTAGTTCCTGGTATTGACTAAAATTCTGCATTTCTAACAAGCTTCTAGGTGGTGCTACAACCCTGTTCCACAGATCACATTCAGCATAAACAAACTTGAAGAAAGACAGAGGGATTAGATTCCACTGTGCAAGTCACACAAGTCTTCCTAATACCAGGTAACTCAACAACTTAAAGAAACTCAGGCCTAGTCTACCCATTTTCTGAGTGAAATGGCACTGATGTTCCTCTAGGAATTCTGAGTGGAATTCAAAAGTGTTAATAAACTTCAAGTTTAATCCCTTGGTTTTACAGATGAGGATATTAAGTGCCTGAGGGTGAAATCATTTGCCCATCATCACATAACTATTTAAGGGTACGGTCAGGATTCTACAGTGGTTTTCTCATTAGTATCCTTTACTTGCTTCATGTAAGAGAAGTCAGCCTACAACAGAAGAATAGAGGAACAGCATACCATGGGAACAGTGGAGGCATCAGAAAAGCTGGGACAGAAAACAAGGGATAATAAAACCAATGTAAGTTCAATAAATGAACCTATGGAAGAGTAGACCTCTTACTAAGCCTTTTTTTCCCGACTCTTTAAAGTTGTATTTCACTAACTTCAGGTGAAATTTCCACGACTGTGTTCTGGTCAATTTACTATCCTAGCTTAGCTTCCCAAAATGGCAGTAGCAAAAGATTTGTGGGGTAGGGAGACGAGACCGCTTTAAGAACCACTGCATTTACTCGTCAAAGGGTAGAAATAGTCGTTTTAATATTGATACAAGTTATTTTACGGGACAGCATTGATACGAGTTATTTTAAGGGATAGCATATCAAATAGGATCATTTCCACTAGGATAGGGTACATGAGACACAAGGGTCAGGAGCGATCATGGGGAGTTCCTTTCTTCCTAATGTGGTAAGTGCTCCAGGTTCAGGTCCCAGGCAAAGCTCCCATTAAGCCCACCCTTCCCTTTACTGCACTAGATCAGGGCCTGACTTAGAGGACTCATAGGTTCAGGGTAGGACTAAGGATTGCATTATAGACTTCTTCCCAAGGTGTTTCATGATTAAGGAGGAACATCTCTCTCCAACAATTAGAGTTCAACCCAAGTCTTTCAGGCAGTGGAAGAAAAGGCATGTAGGTTGTGCAGGCTAGCAAAGTCCAGGCAGAATTAATCAGGAAGGTCCCCAACAGTGTCACCTCTCACAGAGGACCCCTGGAGTCTCTCTCTTTGTGATCTTGACATTACATTGATCCAGATGTTGGCTTTCAACTTCCCTCTAACTCCTCCTACACACGGAAAACTTCAAAGCTTACCAGTATAGTCCTGACAAGTATATAAGATAGAAAGCGAACAGACAAAGATAAAGCAGAAAATTCTCTAATTCAGGCATTCTCTAACATCAAGGCTGCAATCTTTAGTCTGTAGTTCATGTCACCTGTTTTTCATGTTGTTTCCCTGGAAACCCCGGGAGGAACATTACAAGTCTACGCATGGTTTGAACTCCTTCAAGAAAGGGAATAGGTTCTGGGACCACTGTCACTTTTCTGAGGGGATAAGTTGGGAAAAGAAAGATCATATCCAAAGTGAACCTGGAGCAGAGAAGCAAAGTGGAGTAAGCATCCTTTACTTTTACGGCAAAAAATAAAGAGTTATAAAACACAAGAACACATTATCACAGAAGAAGTGATAATAGAGGAAATGACGGTAGCAAATTAAAGGCACTTCTTTTTCTGGATGGTATCTTCAAAAGGCAAAGATAGCAGGATCCACAGATGACTTCAGGAAAGTAATAGCAGCTTTCACAACCAAAGGCATGGTGGAGCCTGTGGTGAGGAAAAACAAGAATCAGGGATGAAGGATCGCAATGAGAGGCTCCTCCAAACCTCCCAGATCATCTAGGAGTTGCGCTTTTCTCTGTCCTCAATATCCCTGCTTTTTCTCCTCTTACTGCCCAGATTCTCCTTGAATCTTCTCTGGCCCCAGATACACTCAGCTGCAGTGAGATAACAAACAGCCGGGAGAATACACTCCGAGTCTAGTCTTCTACTCAGCTTAGTACTGAGACTGTAAGGAGAATCAATGCCACTTGTCCTTCTCACAGTTCACACTCCCCATTCGTGTCCCTCTCCCTCCCTATTCACCCGCCTACCTTGTCCCCAATTTAAGATTTCACCCTTGTCCCCCCAAGAAAAGAACTAGCAGGAAGATTAGTAAAGATCTGAAGCAGGATGGTGGAGACAGGTGACAATGGGACTCTCTTGTGGTAACCTTCTGCCAGGCCAGGGAAGGGGAAGGAGACAGGCCTTAGGATTGTGCTCCTACCTGCATGGACACGCATCCAGGCCATGGCCTTCCGTTCCAGAAGCTCCCATTCACACTTCAAGTCCTTACCATTGCCATGCAGCCAGATCACGGCCAGGATGGTGGCCCAGCCTGAGGAATCCACAAGCTGCACAATAGATAGAGAGCTCCAGTTGGCGCAGGAAGTCCCTCAAAAGGATGCAAAAAGATTCGCTCCCTCCTCACTTAGCTTCCTTCTAAATGCTACTAGATGGAGTTACCTGGTCTCTCTTTACCTCCAGATACTACTTGCAAGGCATAATGCCAGGCCTTAAACCTCAGGGCAGCAATCCACTGAGTCTCGAAATAGAAAATCCTAAGTTTTAAATCCAGTGTAACCACCAGGACAGTTCTGGAAACCCCTAAGACAAGGCTTACCCAGCTCTAGTAAGAGAAACATAGGCAAAATTACTTTATAGTTTATAAAGTACCTTCATGAGTCTTTTTAATTGTAACTCTTATACCCCCCCAAAAAAACATGAAAAAATATCAATAAACATTTTTAAGAAAGAAAACTGATTTCATATAGAAGTATTAACAAAATGATTTGCCCAAACTTAGCCATCTAGCAAATGACAGAAGTGAGACTAAAGGCCAAATATTCTGATTCTAGTTGTATTGCTCTTATTTCTCAATAGAAAATCTCAGCCATACAGCAGAAAATTGTCTCCCATGAGTTTACACCCACTGCTCCCAGCTTCAGTTTTTAGAGTCAGGAGATCAAGGGAAATTCCTATTTTATATCATGATCTTTAAAACTTGGAAATGGGGCCGGGCACGGTGGCTCACACCGGTAATCCCAGCACTCTGGGAGGCCGAAGCGGGCGGATCACTAGGTCAGGAGATGGAGATAATCCTGGCTAACATGGTGAAACCCTGCCTCTACTAAAACACAAATACAAAAAATTAGCCGGGCTTGGTGGCAGGTGCCTGTAGTCCCAGCTACGTGGGAGGCTGAGGCAGGAGAATGGTGAGAACCCGGGAGGTGGAGCTTGCAGTGAGCCGAGATCGTGCCACTGCACTCCAGCCTGGGCGACAGAGCGAGACTGTATTCAAAAATAAATAAATAAATAAATAAATAAACTTGGAAATGGTTATCATGTCCTCTCTGAGTGGTCTTATTTCACATTAGAATTCTCAATTCCTCCATTTCTTCCTTAAGAGGACTGCTTAAGTCAAAGCAGCAAACATCCCCATGCTTGTTCTCCTAGTCTAAAAACAAACAGCATAATGATTCCAAAAATATAGCTCCTTAAATAGTCTATCTGGAGGTAAATGCACTTACAGAATTCTACAATCACAGCCCAAGAATACGGTAGCATTTCAGGTAACCCTGTTGTCCTCCATTACTTAGTTAAATATTCTGACTCATACAGTTGTAGTCATCTAAAACCTCTGATTTTCATGTGCAAATGCTCTCTTCTCTACCTGTAGAGTTGGGAATTTGCAACTCAAAACAGTACTTAGCTTTTATTCCTACTATATTGTTTTTCTTTTTTTTTTTAATGAAAAATTGCAACTCATTATTCAGAGGTTTTTTGGGATCCTGATTCTTTTGACTGATAGTTTATCTCCCAGTTTTGTCATCTACAAATAGGAAAGCCTTGGTCTTTATCTTCATCTAAATCTTTATTGAAACTGTGAATCTCCAGAGAATTCAGAGCCTGGTGGGTCTAAAAATCTGTTTCAAGTTTGAAATCAATTCATCATTCAGTGCCATGGGTTTTCAACTAGTTTGTACTTGGTCCATGTTCTCATCATTAAAAAAATATATATATCAAATTCCTTACTGAAATTCAGACATACCAGGTCTGTTGGTTCACTTGATTCCATTGGCCTGGATACCATTCCAAAGAAGGAAATGCCAATCTGATGTTTTTTGTTCCCAGTGCATCTAAATAATCCCTGTATCCTCTTCCAAGTGTGTATGAATTATCATCTTAATTACTTTTTCTATAACAGCATTTTCCAATAAAAATATAATGCTAGACACATATGTAATTTTAAATTTTCTAGTAGCCAAATTTTAAAAAGTAAAAATAAAGAGGTATAATTACTTTACTGATATATTTTATTTAACCCAATCTATTAAAAAGTCATCATTTTAACATGCAATCAATATACAAATAATTATTGATGAAATGTTTTATTCCTTTTTATATAAAGTCTTTGCAATTAGTATGGATTTCCCACCATAGCACCCCTCTATTCAATTAAAAATTTAGTTCCTCATTGGTATTAGCCACATTTCAAAGGCACAATAGCCACATGTGACTAGTGGACACTGCATTGGACAGTGGAATTGCAGAATATCTTAAATTTATTTGATCTCTTTCCACATTTTGAAAGTTTAGAATGATATTTGTCCTTCAGGCTTTTTGCACCTGTCTCATGCCTGACAATTTCTCAATGAGTGTTAGAAGATTTTGCAAGTTACCTTGAAATTCTGGAATGCAATTTATCCTCATCAGTATATTTAAATACATCTGAAACAACTAGGTGGTTCCTATTAACAACACTTCATGTATCCTGACTTCAGTTAACTTTGCCAATGTCTGGACCACTTTCATCAGTATGAAGAGGAGCAACAACGAGGTTATTATTGGGAGTTCTCAAGATAGTCTTAGAACTGAATCTGGCTCTGCTACTGATGGGCTAGGTAAACTCAGACACCTTTTTAGACCTCCCTAAACTTCAGTTTCTTCATCTATAAACAGCAACACAAATGGGATCTACCTTATTAAATTAATGTGTGAAATAAATAAGCTCACGAATATTAATTGCTTAGTACAGTGCTTGGCACAGAGTAATTGCTCACTAAATATTAGTTATATAACCAAGACCATTGGCAGGGAATACGATTAAAGTGGAGGAGAATGTTGCTTTTCCTTTATCATCCACCAACAAAAAAACCATCAATTCCTACTAGCTTCCCCATTAATCCCTTGCTCTTTCTGCTCTAACATGACCAGAAAAAGCTTCAGCCTCTATTTATTACAAATTAATTTACTCTATGGCTCCCTATATTTTCCTTCCTCAGATAGGTCCTGAATCACCTCCATGCTCAATGATGACCTTTCTCTCTCAAAAACATACATACTCCTTTTTCCACTGAATCTTACCTCAGCAGGGTGTGCAGCCGTTATTTCTTCCAAACTCACACCTAGGACCTTGGCTAGATCTTCATTCAGATCCCAGGAACCATTTGCATTTTGGTGGTAAATCAGCTGCACAAGATGATTCTCTCCAAAGCCTTTGAGGAGAAAGAAAAGGGGAGGACGAGAAATTATGGAGCTATTGGCCCCTCAGCATACTTGAATTTAGGGCTGCTAAATTCAGAGACAGGCCATAGCAAGAATGCCATAGAAAGAAAGTCATCAGACAACATCCAGAAGATCAGTCTTCAAACCCTACTTGTGAAAGGATGACCAGTGGAACAGGGGCTCACAGGGGGTGGCAGCAGGGCTCTGCCGGGGGGCGGGGGCAGCCCGCAGGCAAGCCGTGTGAGCTGAGATCGTCAAGGGAGTTTGTTCAACTAGGGGTCACCCTAGACTCCACTGAGATAGCAGGTTTCAGGGTCCTATATGATACACTAATGAAGCTACTTGGGCTGACCCTGGGAAACAGGGGCAGAACAAATCTGACCATCTGCCCGGTGCTTTTCAAACAGATGACCTCCTGGGTAAAGAAAGCCAGAGGCAGCAGAACATTGAAGGTTAGTTTCTCAATCCCGATAGATTGGAGGGGTGAACCAAGGCCTGCCTCACCTGCATGGTAAGTTTCCAAGTTGGTTCTGTGGGTGGAGGAATGAGTCCTTTCCAACAGACAGGGCAACTTTTCGAGAGACATCCATGTCTTGTCATAGCTGTAACTACAAGCTTTTAGCTTGCCTAGTCCTATATGTGTGACAGAAAAACACTGTTGAGAAAATGTTCCTATTAAGGTACTCACCTGGACTGTGCCGGTCCTTGTGATTTATCAACCCACAGAGACTGTAATTGTCCACCTGGAATGAGACGGCCTCACAACACATAACTCTCCTTATGGGCTGAGATGCAGAAGGAGGACGGTCGGAGGGTAAGGCCTTTCGAAAACCTGAAAAAATCCATACAAACATTAAGACAGTGGCACTCCCTGCTCTCTGCAGTGGACGAAGGACCCTGACAATTCGAGATACCCTCCCGTCCACATGGGCTTCAGTCACCACCCTTACTGTGCTATTTTTCTCTCATATGCCCACCTCCTGTACAAACCCTCGCCCTCCTTCTACTGTGTCCTCTGGAACTCCTGACACACGCTAAACAATTTTTCCTGCATCTTTAGTTTGACTACAGGAGGCTTCTGCCAGCTAAGTCTCAACTTAAAACTGAATTTATCCTCCCAAAAGACTATTCTCCTTCCATCACTCTCAAATGGTTGTTGCTCAATGTACCACACTTCAAGTAGGGAGGTAGGGTTGGCAACCTCTTCAGTCCCTCATGCTGCATCCAGATCATTAAATGTGGCTTACCTTCCACATGTCGTCACTATTGTCTACTTCTAATCCCTTTGTTACTTCCAATCATTCACTAAAGTATCTGAAAACTAGACCATAGACTTCCACTCCATTGAAAGGCCTACCATCATCTTGAGAGATTTCATCACCCATGTTGATACCCTATCCGACACCCTAATGCAAAGCTTCTTTGACTTCATCAAATCCAATGACTTCCACTTCATTCTACTGCTGCCACTTCCTCCCGAGCCATGAAGACCTTGTTATTAGAATTGTCCCACTCATAAAAAATAAACCGAAAAATTGAAGCTGGGTACAGTGGTTCACGCTTGTAATTCTGACCCTTTGGGAGGCTGAGGTGGCAGGATCACTTGTGCCCACAAGCTTGATACCAGCCTGGACAAAGTAGCAAGGTCCCATATTTGTAAAAAGTTTTAAGAATTACCTGGGCATGGTGACATATGCCTACAGTCCCAGGCAGAAGGATCATGCAAGGTCAAAAGTTTGAGACCAGTCTAGGCAATGTAGTGAGACCTCATCTCTAAATAATATAAAAATTAAAAATTAGCCAGGCATGGTGGTGCATGTCTAGAGTCCTACCTACACGGGAGGCTGATGTGGGAGAATCACTTTAGCCCAAGAGATCGTGGCTGCAGTGAACTACAATCACACCACTGCACTCCAACCTGAGCAGCAGAGTGAGATCCTGACTCAAAAAAAAAAAAATTTTTTTTTAAAATTCCTAGTTTTAAAATACAATATCTGATTTTTCTAGTTTTCTAACTTAGAGATTTCTGTTTTACCTGATCTTTGACCTCATCTGGACTACTAAGTTCTTGACTTCTCTACTTTTTTTCCTGTATGTCAGCTTGCTTCCATCAAGCTCTCTAGTGTTACCCTAAAAACAAGCTTCCTAGCATTACCCTGATACCAAAACCAGATAAAACAACAAAAGTAAAATTATAGGCCAATATCCTTGATTAACACAGACGCACAATCCTCAAAAAAATACTAGCAAACCACATTCAGCAGTACATTAAAATGATCATGCATCATTATCAAATGGGATTCATCCAAGAAATGAAAAGTTGGTTCAATAAACATAAATTGATAAACATGGATTGCACTAACAGAAAAAAGGACAAAAACATATGATCATTTCAATAGATGCAGGAAAAGTATTAAACAAATTCAACATCCCTTCATGGTAAAAACTCTCAGCAAATTAGGTACAGATGAAATGTACCTCAACATAATAAAGACAATTATGGCAAACTCACAACTAATATATTGAAGAGGGAAAAGTTGAAAGCGTTTCCTCTAAAATCAGAAACAAGACAAGGATGCCCACTTTCACCACTTCTATTCAATATAGTACTGGAAGTGCTAGCCAGCACAATGAGGCAAGAGAAATAAATAAAAAGAATCTAGATTGGAAAAGAGGAAGTTAAACTACCCCTGTTTGCAGATGACACGATCTTATACATAGAAAACCCTGAAGACTCTATAAAAAAAAACTGTTAAATATAATAAACAAACTCAGCAAAGTTGAAGGATATAAAATCAACATACAAAAGTCATTAGTGTTTCTATACACAAATAGCAAGCTCTCTGAAACAGAAATCAAGAAAACAATCTCATTTGCAATGGCTACAAAATAATTAAAACATTTAGGAATAAATTTAACTGAGGAGGTGAAACACCTCTATACTGAAAATCGTAAGATATTGATGAAGGAAATTGAAGAAGACACAAATAAATGTAAAGATATCTCATTCATGGATTGGCAGAATAAATATTGCTAAAATGGCCATAATACCCAAATCTATTTACAGATTCAATGCAATCCCTATGAAAATATCAAAGACATTCTTCACAGAATTAAAAAATCATAAATTTGTATGGAATTATAAAAAAAAAAGTCAAAGTAACTTTGAGAAAACACACACACACACACAAACAAATAAAATGCTGGACGCATCGCACTATCTGACTTTAAAATATACTACAAAGCTATAGTAATCAAAACAGCATAGTACTTGCATAAAAACAGACACAGACCAATGGAACAGAAATGGAGAGCCAGAAATAAATCCACACATGTACAGCCAGCTAGTTTTTGACAAAAGTGCTAAGAACACAAAAGGTGAAAGACAGTCTCTTCAATAAATGACATTGAGAAAACTGGATATGCACATATGAAAGAATAACATTACACCCTTATCTCTCATCACATAGAAAAACCAACTCAAATGAACTAAAGGCTTAAATGTAAGAGGTGAAACTATGAAACAACTAGAAGAAAACATAAAGGAAAATATCTTTGACATTGGTCTGGGCAATTATTTTTGGATATGAGCTCAAAAGCATGGGTGACAAAAGCAAAAATAGATAAATGAGGTTACCTCTTGTGTATAGCAAAGAAAACAATCAACAGGGTGAAGAGACAACCTACGGAATGGGAGAAAATATTTGCAAACCAAACATCTGATAAGGGTTTAATATATGCAAAATACACAAGGAATTTAACTCAAAACCAAGAAAGCAAATAACCCTATTTAAAAATGGACAAAAGATTTGAATAGACCATTTCTCAAAAGAAGACACACAAATGGCCAATAAGTATACGAAAAAATGTTCAGCATTACCAATCATCAGGAAATTGCAAATCAAAACCACAATGAGCTATCACCTCACACCTGTCAGAATGACTACCACCAAAAAGACAAAAAATAACAAGTACTGGTGAGGACATGGGGAAAAGGGAATGCTTGTACACCGTTGGTGAGAATGTAAATTAGTATAGCCATTGTGGAAAACTGTGGCTCCTTAAAACGTTAAAAATGGAACTACTATATGATCCAGCAATCCCACTGCTGGATATACAGCCAAAAGAAAGGAAATCAGTAATATCAAAGAGATATCAGCACTATTTACAACAGTCAAGTCATGGAATCAACCTAGGTATCCATCAGTGGATGAATGAATGATGAAAATGTACTATATATACACAATGTCACATTATTCAGCCATAACAAAGAACAAAATTCTGTTATTTGCGACAACATAGATGAACTTGGAGAACATTATGTTAAGTGAAATAAGCCAGCCACAGCCTGGGTAAAATGGCAAAACCCCATCTCTACGAAAAATACAAAAAATTATCTGGGCATGGTGGCATGGTAGTCCCAGCCACTCAGGAGGCTGAGGTGGGAGGATTGCTTGAGCCTGGGAGGTTGAGGCTACAGTAAGCCATAGCAACAGTAAGCCAGTAAGCCATGATTGTGCCACTGCACTCCAGCCTGGGCAACAGAGCAAGACCCTGTCTCAAAAACAAAGAAAGAAAATAAGTCCAGAACAAATATATAAAGACAGGATAGGCAAATATATAGAGATAGAAAGTAGGTAAGTGATTACTGGGACTGGTGGGGAGGGGAGTGGAGGAGAAGATAGGTGGGGTCAGGGAGAGAAATGGGAAATGTCTGTTAATAGTTATGAAGTTTATTTCTTGGTGATGAAAATGCTCTAAAATTGATTGTGGCAATCAACGGTTGCACAACTCTGTGAACATACTGAAACACATTGTATTATACAGTTTAAATGGGTGAATTGTATGATATTTGAATTATATCTCAATAAAAAAGATATCTATATGTATAAAACTCAAAACCAAGAAAGCAAATAATCTTATTTAAAAATGGACAAAAGACTTGAATAGACACTTCTCAAAAGAAGACACACAGATTAGGCAGTTTGGTTACTCAGTGTTTACCTGCACTTTCTACATTTTAATGTTTGTTTTTTTGTTTTCTCTTGGATTATTTTAAATCTCCTTGCCAATGTGATGCATTCTAGTTCCCTGGGACGGAAAAGTTTAACACTAACCAGAAATCCTAGATGTGGAGGTAGAAGGAAAACAAAGCAACTTAAGAATATTTCACAGCCTTTTCCTTTAAATAATGTGCTCAGATAGTCAGAACCTTTTATTCTATACGAGTCTGAATAGAATAAAACTCATTACCTGATCGGCATCTTATCTTCAATGGGGTAGAAGCACCCAGCAGCATTGGCCTTGGGATGTCCCTATGAGCCAGAGGCCCCTGAACTGGCTTGTTGAGCTCCTTATTGATAGCAATGAAAGCTGTGAAGGAGCTTATGACACCAGACTCAAGGCTGAGGTTCAATGCATCTTTTTTATCACTTGCTGGAGTCTCCCTGAGGCCCATGTCCTTGGTCTGGAGCAAGGACTTGGCAGCAAGGCGGTGAATGGTGAAGCTAAAAGGAAAAAATTAAAAAGTACTGAAATGTAGGGAAAGACACCCATATACCAGTTTCTCAGGACTCCTAAAAGTTAGGAATAGAAGAGTTAAGATAAAGTCAGATAAGGGGAGAGATAAGACTTGGGTGGTTTAGAAATAAAAAATGATTGTAGGAAAACAATTACAATGAAGCCCAAAATTAAGAGAAGAAATCTAATCCCCAAAGATGGCAGAGGAAAGAAGGAAGGAAGGAGGGAGGGAGAAAGGGAGGAAAGGAAGGAAGGAAGGAAGGAAGGGAAAACTGAATTCTCACTTGACATCAGGCTTGGGTTGTAGAGGAAATGTCACTTTATCCTCAAAAGTCTTGCCCTGGAGTGTGTATTTGAGGCATACTTTTCCTGTTGTCTCTGCTGCCTGCAAATTGGAGATGAGTAGAAATGACGGAAGAAAGAGATCATCCATGGAAGGATCAGAACAGGGGCAGGTACCCAAAACAATGTATTAAAATATCTGATGAAGAATCAGGTAGCCTAGGAAACCAGAGACCTGAAACGATGGGAAGGAAGTAGGCTAGCTCTACTTGGCAACTGCCATCTCTGGCTGAGATTGAAATCCACCTACCAGCTTTAGTGAAATGGTCAGTGTGGTAGCTCTGTGACTAGAGGAACAAACAAGAATGGGAACTCACTGGCATCCTCCCGGTCAGTTGGGCATAGATGATTAATCTCTGACCCCTAAAGATGACGGTCTGTTCTGGGGAAAGCATTTTAGCAGACAGACCAGGAGGCAAACGCCAGCTCAGAGAGACATCCTCTACCACAGGCTGCAGAGAGCGTTTCAGAGTCCTGAGAGCCTAATGGAGGGAAGAGAACAGAATAAACACAAATGATATGGACAATGGCAGCTGCCATTAACTGAACATTTATTTATGTATCAGATATGATACAATATAATACATGTCATGCCTACTCCTCAGTACTATTCCAGGAGATGGGCTTTATATATGAAGAAGCTTTACATACGAATAAGCCAAAGCTGAAATATTTAGTACCATAAATGTAAATAACGAAAACGTTTGAGTAACGAGACCCTTGGAGAAGGGGATTAGATAACAGGTGGCACCAACTGGGAAAGAGGAGCTTAGAAATACCACCAGAGGGGTCTTCTCCTTGTGCAGAAAGATGAAATGGAACAGCAATTTACTACCTCTTCCAATCCATTAGATATATCACGATTATTCCTTCTCCTTTTCTTTGTATAGTTTGCATGCAGGATGCGTGTAGTACAAAAAGAGGTTCTAAAGTGCAGACCTAGAATCTTAGTCATGAATGACAGTCAAAGCTCTTAGTTTGTCCATGTCTGGTCTTAAATGCAAAGGCCCCGATCCCTTTCAGCATCTTGTCTCTGAGCTTGCAGCTTTTGGGACCAGATGTCATATTTCCAGATACTACAGAGGGCTTCTATTACATGAGGCCAAAAGTAGCCTGATGAAGTATACAGCCTAAGGCCTTGGGGATATAGGAACAGGTATCCTGGAGGAAAGTTGCTACCCCTGCCCTTTTGCACAGTGTCCCCACCCCATTCCACTTTGGTCTGGATTGCCACCTCCGGACAGACACAGCCAGTCTGTCCCTCACCTTGGACTGCATCCTGTCTTTGCCTGTGATAAATTCTGAGGTGCCGCCTGATGCCCGGGCAATACCTTTTATTAGGCTGGTGGAGGCACCTTCTCCGATACCGAATGCGAAACACCTGCAATTGTAAAAGGACAGAGGTTAGACGCAAGCATTAAAGAGTAAACATATAAAAGTAATACATATGGCCAAAAATACATAAGGAAATAGTCTACTTTCTTGACCAAAAGTGTAATAGCTACCATTTACTGAGTATATTCTATATTTTAGGAGGTATAAAAATGCCTTAAATCAATGATTCAATTTAATCATCACAAAACCCCTAAAAAGCAGGCTTCTGCTTCACTTTGCAGATAAGAAACTGAGGCCCAGAAAGTTTAAGAAATCTTTCCAAGATCATGTAACTACTAAATGATAGCAACGTCACTGGAGCACTGATCTACCTTACTGCAAGATCCCCCTGGCAAACTAACAGAAAGATAGAAACTAACACCAGTTCCTACCTAATGATGTGCTGGTACCGTATCTCCCCTAGCAAGACCATTCTTAGGGAAAGGAAGTGTGCCTCCTGCTCTTCTAACTGGAGAGTTCTTGCCCTGCCTTAGTCCATGTGCACCAAGTAACTTCTTAAACATAATGTGATTTCCCAAATAGAATTATATATAAACAAAGAATATATTGGTAGTACTAGCACAGGTGCTTTTGGAAGGCATGTCAGACAGAGTTTTCATTGCAAATTAATACCCTGCAATTTTGGTTTACGTATCAGTCTCTCTTAGATTAGTGTGAGTCATCATCTCCAAGTCTAGTGGCATCAGCATTAGGATCAATGCTCTACACTTGTAAGACTCAGGAACAGACTTCTAACTGGACCTACCTGTAACGAGACTTCCTAAATACTACGACCTGACAGCATCTTCATATCACAACCTTTAAACTTCTAACATGATCTTTGAATTGTAGCCTATGTAATAAAGTGCTGTTATTTTTTAAGGTCTTTTGTATAAAATCAACAGTAAACAATTTTGGCTGGGTGTGGTGGCTCACAATTTGGGAGGCCAGTGCCAAGAGTTCAAGAGCAGCCTAGGCAACAAAGTGACAGACTCTATCTCTAAACAATCAAACAACAAAAAATTGATGACTAACTAGAACTCACGACAGTGCTACATGTGGATGATAATAAAAATCAAAATATTACAATAATAGCAAAAGTTTATATAGCACTTACTTTTTGTCTAGCCCAGTGCCTAATACTTGCCCTAGGTATACTCTTTTAACCATAACAATAAATCTGTAAAGTGAGTACTATTAGGATCCTAATTTTCATGTGAGGAAACTAAGGCATAGAGAGATTAGTTGATTTATCTTCTGCAGGCAAGCAGAAGAACTGTAACTTAAATCAATGACTTCTGACTTAAAATATAATGCCCTAGGAAGGTTCTGCTCACAGCAATGCCACTGTAAATTGTTTCAGGCCAGCAGAGAACTAGGAAAGCCGTATACAATATTTAAAACAATTTGTTTGAAAACATCAAAGGTCTACCAAGATAAAAATCTATGGGCCAAGACCTGGGAGAGGAGAGAAGCCAAGAGAAATGAGCCCAGTATCTGATGTTCCTTGACCCTTTGAAGCAAGTGCCAAGTACAAAGACAGATGACTCAAAACCCAAGCGGTTACACGCAGGCGGGAGGAACAAAATAGCAATTTGCGCTTTTCATAGCAAAGGTGTTCTTGTAAACACCTAAGAACTGAGGATACAACCCTAAAGGACTACATCCCAGAGGTAGAGGTGAATCCGAAATAGACCAGCCATCACCGTGCCTGAAGTTCATCAGACCCTCACTGGATTAAGATGATCTGTTCCCAGTCTATCCAGTGACCATTCAGAAGCAAAGAATGAAAAGAATGCATCCTCTCAGAGGGAAGATGTCATCTAGAGGATCATCTAATTTCTATAATTTTTTATTTGACAACTAACAAAAATAGAAAATCCTCAAATATTGGGAAATTAGGCACTGTACTTATAAATTATACAAGCTTAAAAATCATAACGATAATTGGAAAATATTCTTAAGTGGATGACAATGGCAAATGGCATATCCACATTTAAAATTCAGCTACAGATGTGCTTAGATCCATGGCTCTGAATATGCAATTAGAAAAGAAAGTCTAAAACTCAACTATCAAGCATCTTTCTCAAGATGTTAAAAAAGGATGGCCAATAAACCCAAGGAATGTAAAAGAAAGAAAATAATAAAGATAGATAGGAGTAGATATTAATGAAATAGAAAACACTTATATGATAGAAAGTACCAACAAACACAAAGGTGCTGGTGTTTTGAAATTATTATTAAAACTGATAAATATCCAGTGCAAGGAAAGAAATATTAATAGAAAAGGCACAAATAACCAACATTAGAAAAGAAAAGGTAATATCACTACATATTCTACAAAATTTAATATTATTAGGCAATATAATAGACAATTTAATGCAAATAAGTTCAGTAAAATATACAAACTTTTATAAAAAATAACACATAAAATATGAATAGTTCAAAACAAATACTTTCCCAAAAAAATATCAAGGCCAAGAGAGCTTTGCTGGCAAATTATAATAAATAGTTATGAAAGAAAATCTTTTGGAGCAAGGAAAAAAGGCAACCTTCACAGCTCATTTTATGATACTAGCATAAAATTGATATCAAAACCTGACAAGATAAGACAATATATGTCAATATTTCCAACGAAAATAGATTCAAACTCCTAAAAAATGTATTATCCAAAGGAATCAAAAAATATATGAAAGAGATTAATATATCACAACTACTTTGGGTTTATTCCAGAAATTCAAGGTTGGTCTAACATTTAGGAATTATCATTAGAATTCAGACTTTAAAAGAAGAAAGGATAAAATCATACATTAATCTAAACAGATACATAAAATACATTTGATGAAATTCAACAATCATTCATTATTCAAAACAAAAGAAAGAAAAGAGAGAAAAGAACCCTCAAAACAGAAATAAAAGGGAATTTCCTTAATCGTAGAAAGGATAACTACAAAAAAAAAAAAAAAAAACCCTTATGGCAAACACCATACTTAATTGTGCAAAGTTGAAATGTTCCCGTTGAAGTCCAAAATGAAATAAGGATATGATCATTTTGATTCAGATTTCTACTAGAGGTTCTCTCCAGGCTAATCCAGAAGGGAAGAAAAAATTTTAAAAAAATAAGAAAAAGAGAAAATTTTTTAAAATAAGAAAAATAAAACTGATATTTTTTGCAAATGTGATTCTTCATGGAACATCTAAAAGAGCCTGCAAATATATTATATTTGCAGACTCTCAAATTAAAATATAATTTAATTAATATCTAAATTAATTAACATCATTAAATACAAGTCAAGGTAAAACAAGCTATAGAAATTCATTTCTAAACAGAAATAAACAACCAATAAATAAAATTATTAAAAAATACTATTTAAAATAGCATCAAACACCTAGGGAAACAATTTAATAAAAAAATGCACGAAGCCCTCTACACAGAGAATTATAAAATATTACAGAGAGATTTTGTGTGTACAGAAGGCTTCCCTTATCTGCAGTTTTATATTCTAGTTTCAGTTACCTGCGGTCCACTGCAGTCCAAGCATAATAAATAAAAAATTCCAAAAATAGACAATTCATACATTTTAAATGGTATCCCATTCTGAGTCACATGATGAAATCTTGTGCCATGCTGCCCAATCCCACCCTGGACATGAATCCTCTATGTCCAGTGTCTCCATGCTGTCCATATGACCGTTAGTCACTTAGCAGCAGTCTCAGGTATCAGACAGATACATGTGGTATCGCAGTACTTATGCTCAAGTGACCTTTATTTTACTTAACTGTTCATTTTATTATTAGTTATTGCTAATCTCTTCCTGTGCGTAATTTATAAGTCAAATTTTATCATAGGTATGTATGTATAGACAAAAAACATAGCTGAAACAAATGTGGTAAAAGGTTGACAACTGGTAGACCCGGGTGAAGGGTATATGGTGTCCATTGTACTTTTTTTTTTTTTCCAAGATGGATTCTCGCTCTGTCACCCAGGCTGGAGTGCAGTGGTGCGATCTCAGCTCAATGCAACCTCCATCTCCCGGGTTCAAGCAATTCTCCTGCTTCAGCCTCCTGAGTAGCTGGGATTACAGGCACACACTACCATGCCCTGGCTAATTTTTGTATTTTTAGTAGAGATAGGGTTTCACCATGTTGGCCAGGCTGGTCTCAAACTCCTGACCTCGTGGTCTGCCTGCCTCGGCCTCCCAAAGTGCTGGGATTACAGGCACGAATCACTGCGGCCAGCCCATACCATTGTTCTCCATTGTTCTATTTTTGCAATACCTCTATATGTTTAAGGTTTCTTAATAAAATGTTGGAAACAAACACTTCGAGAAATCAGAGACCAAAGTAAATGAAAGGATATACTACGTAAATAGATTGGAATGCTCAATATAGTAAATAGTCAGTACTGCTTAAATAGATCTAGTCAATGCAATTCTGGCCCATATACCAATAGGTTTCCTTTTCTGGTAAAAACCGACAAGCTAATGCTAAAATACAAATACTAACAGTCAAGTGTAACCAAGACAGTCTTGGTTATGAAATGAACAAAACTGAGGGCTTATCACTATTGGAAATCAAGATTTATCATGAACCTGTACTAATTTATATGGTGTAGTTCTAGCACACATCTAGATGAATAGACCAATGCAATGGAACAGAGGATCCAGAAACAATGTACATGTGCATAGATGCTTATTGATGACAGAGATGACACTGTGCATTAGTGAGGAAAGGACCAACATTTCCATAAATGGAATAGGGTCAATTTGATATCCACATTACAAAAATACAAAACCTTGGATAGGGAAAGACTTTTTAACAGGACACAGAAAACACTAACCATAAGGGAAAAGACTAGAAAGTATCGAACTACATTAAAATTAACAACTATTACTTGAATACATTTTGAAGCTAAGAGCAAACTATAGAGTATTTCTAGAACATACAATCAACAAAGAGCTTGTATCCAGACTACAGAATGAACTATAGATCAATAAGAAAATCAACCTAATAGGAATAAATAAGTAACAGAAAAAGACTTGAAAACACATCATGAAAGAGGACATACAACTGGTGAACAAATATGAAGTACTGCTAAACTTCATTCATCGGCAGGAAAATGTAAATTAAAACCATAATAAGACACCACGACACACACACAAAACTAACATTTAAAGACAATATCATGTTTTGGATAGGAAATGAGGTGATTGGAACACTCCTACAATAAAGAATTAAATTAGTACAACCATTTGGAAAAATGTTTGGCGTTTTCTAGAAACTTCACAACTCTTGTCTACTCAGAGAAAAATCTACGTATATAAATATGTATGTATGCATATACACGTGTGCACAAAACAATAATGTACAAGAATACAAAACTGTTCACAGCAGCATCATTTTTAACAGCCAAATCAAAGTCCTACAGCATTAAAATCAATAGATAAATTATGGTAGAGTCATTTTATGGAATACTATACATCAGTGAAAATTAACTATGGCTATACTTAAAATATATATGAATTTCTCAACATATTGCTGAAAGAAAAGAAACAATATACACAGAAACAAAAACATATTGTATAACTCATTTATTTTCACTCAAAAACAAGCACAAATAACCCATGATGTTGTAAGTCAGGAAAGTTTTAGTGTGTAGTGACAGGGAATAGGACATGATGGAAAAGGGTACAGATGGAGAGGCCTACTACCATTGCAGGTTTTACCTATGTGGCGATGACACAGTGCATTCACTGTGATAATTTATCCAGTTGTATACTTATAATTTTTGTAGTTTTCTGCATGTTTTACTTCCCTAAAAATGTTTATAGTAAAAAAAAATTTAACATCTTACTATTCAATTCTCGTGTCCATTGTAGTTTAGAAAGAATAAGAAACAATGGTTTTGCTGTGTTGTTGATGTTATTTGGAAAACTGTGTTTACTTTTTATAGGGAGAAATAAATGTTCAGCTGCTAAAACTAAATTCTGAAATCATTTGGTCCTCTTTAAGGAATGTCAACAGTGGCATCATGTGGCACTAGAGTCTGTACGCCACTACTTAGCTCCAATTACCCAGAAATCACATTTTCTTCATACCTGTGTTTCTGTCTGTTGATCCTAACTTCTTTAATTACACTAAATGTGTCTGTAACTTCTCCATCTGTAAAGACAAAAAGCTGTACAAAGAAAGAAAATGTTCATCAGGTCTTTGTCAAGTTCATTTTAAGAAACCAGAATTTGCCCTTGAAAAATCCACCTATTTCATTGCAGAGGCTCTGGTACCTCTTCAAAGAGGCATGAAATCCCTAATGTTTCAGTCGCTAGCACCACATTCGCACATGATCTGTACAGAATCCAGGGAATTTTTAGCATCTCCCCTCCTAGCTGCATCTAAGTTATTGTGGCACTCCATAAAAGGCCTTCCAGTGTCCATCGCATGGAGTTAAGGAAGAAGAAAAATGCATCATCTTTTTTTTTCTATTTACTATATGATAGAAGACTGTGAATTACAAACCATATTTCAACATACTGCATGAAGCTCAGGGGCATAGATTCTTAGGGATTTCACACTTGCAGTCTCTTCTGTGAGCTCTGTTCCACTTCTCACCTGTAGGGGGTGGCCTGGGATGGAGGGTCCCCTGTAAATGTTCTGGAGTGGTGCCAAGATTTCAGTGCCCCCTAGGTCGGCCTGCATAAGCTTAACTCTCCCCAGAGCCTCCTCCATTGTTTGCTGAGTGTACTTCACACTCTTCCTGAGAAAAACAAACACACCCAGTTACATGAGGGCTACTTAACTTTGCCCAGTATAGAGTCCCTGAATTGAACTGAGAAACCCCCATGAAAAGACAGTCTTATCTGAAACCCCCAATGCCAAAGTCAACTCCGCAGTAACCCCTTTAACAATTTAGTCGCTTACTTTAAAGTCTCATTTTGTACTCCCTATTGTCTTTCCAGAAACTTACGGAAAGTATGCCTCATAGGAAGAGCCAAATCCATAGATGTTGAAATAACAGCCCATAGGTAAACTCTTCAGTAGCAAAATCAGTGTTTCCTGAAGGTAAGAGAGCATGAGGAGACAGAGCGAGAGAGGCTCGTCAAAACACACGGGCCCTGCCAATCGACTCTGAAGGAGGTAGGCCATCACCCACCTTGCACCTTCTTACATTCCAAAGCTAACCTCGGGGTCGTCATGCTGCTGTCTCAGGCTCCAGATAGACCCTAATTTAACCCCTCAGATTCATCCTCACTTGAGCATGTGACCCAGAAGAGGAAAGAAGCTTTACCTTGGCTGCCTGGATGCGCAGCTGAGATGTATCCTGGCTACTCATGGGGCTCTGCATACTTCCTGAGCGGTCCATGAGGAAGACAAACTCTCCGCAGGTATTTGATGGTTGATCTTCCGGGATATTTGGATAGAAACTCACCATTGCGGATGGATCTCCCATCAAACGACCTGTTCAGAAAGGATACAGCCATTTAAGACAAAAAGGAACTCAAGAATCCTAGTACCTAAGAATCAATGGTATTGAATTCAATTAAGAGCTAAGAAAACTGAAATCTAAAACACTGTGATGATTCGTATACCATAACTGCTTGCAACGGGGTCGAGGTGAGTTATAAATATATAAGACAGACAAAAGCAGAACAGACATGAAAAAGAAGAAAGAGGATAGAAGTTAGTAGACACAAGCAATAGTTAAAACATTATCACTGATTACCAGTTTCCTGGCAGCTAGGCAAATGAATGAAACACATTAGGTTAAAATGTTCCAGCATTTGCCAAAAGAATCAGACAAGTTTATCTACAGAATCAAACCTTTTCTTCAAATCAAATAAACAGGAAATGTATCACATGGGCCTTAAGTCTTTAATTACAGCTTTGAAAAAAGTGATACTCACATGGACAATTTTTCAGTTGACAATTTACAAGAGTTGAGAGTATAAGTATTATACCCACTGAGGTAAGTCTGTTTGCTTTGGCTATGAATAACTCGCTGATAGTCCCCAGAAGAAAGGGAAACACTGAGATACGTGTTGGATTCTATGAGCATCATCCAAACAATGGTGTGGGGGTGACCACAGGAGCCCAGTCTATCTGGCCACATTGTCAAAGCCATAGCTGTGACTATTTTTAGAAGCAAGTGAGGGCTGATACAGGAACTGAAATGCTAGTATTGAGATAGTGATGCAATGAGAATGGCTGGGTTAACTCCAACTTTACAGAAAATATAAGAGGCTATATAATTAAATTCCATTATCCTGTTTTTACAAAGTGGTTCCAGGATCATAGGTTTATATTATCAGTAGACCCGGGATTTGGTATGACAAGAGAATGTGGCTCAGTTTAATTTCTTTCCCATAGGATATGTCAATCACCAAACTGGCTTCTGAATAAGATGGATGTTGCCCATCAAATATATGATAGGACACTGGTTCAAAAATAACATTTATACAATCCAGATGTCTGGATATATGACAGAGGAGGAGCTTTTTTGGTGAGCAAGGTTCCTTTCCATTCTCAGAGACAGCTGTTTTAAATGGAGCTGGTGCTATACTGAGGAGTCAGAAAGGGTGGCATGAGTATGATATGGGGTAACACATTTAACCTGTTTACAACAATGCCAGATGAATTGTAAGTGTTATATGTGGATTATCTACTGTAATTTTAGCCTGGCTCAAATTCTTTTCACCTCCATGAGTCTCAGCTTCTTTGTTTTCAAATGAGGCATTTCAAACTTCAGCTCCTCTGCTTGCTAGCCTCATGTCTTCCTCTGAAAAACCAAGGTAGTACCACCTACGTCAAGATTATTTTAAGCAGGGGTATCCAATCTTTTGGCTTCCCTGGGCCATATAAGAAGAAGAAGAATTGTCTTGGGCCACACATAAAATACACTAACACTAAATATAGCTGATGAGCTTAAAAAAAAATCACAAAATAATTTCATAATGTTTTAAGAAAGTTTACAGATCTGTGTTGGGCTGCATTCAAAGCTGTCCTGGGCCCCGTGTGGCCCCCAGACTCTGAGTTGAACAAGCTTGATTTTAAGAGTTAAGTAATATAATATACTTAAGGAACTCAGTTTAGGGCTCAACTCAGATTAAACCCGTAATAACAATATTATTAAATTATTTCTAAATTGTATTTTTACATACTTTTAAAATTAAATTATAAATTTAATTTTAGAAAGACATTATGTTCTTAATATCGTAAGTACATCTGCTCTAAGTTTGTAAAAAAAATAACATACTGTGTTTTTGTCATATAGCTGTAGGTTTCATTTGGCAGAACTCTAAATGGTTTTAGTGAGCCAAGCTGCCGCTTAAAGTTGTCATTTGCTTCCTTGTGTGGATGAGAACAGCAAGTCGTTTTGACTAAATATATGACCTGGGAAGCAAAACTTGAGCAGTCCTGCTGGAAGGGATTCACAAGACTGTAAAGACTGTCCCTGATGTCCCCCCTTGGCCTTCAGAACTGGTCATGGGGACTAGATGAGAAAATCTGCATAGGGACCAAGGGAACTGCTTAGAAAACAGGGACTGAGATCTCAATGCTTACCTTTTGGGATCCAATGTCATGGAACTTTCTCTGGTGAAGACAGTCCTTTAAAATAATCTTAACTGACAAGTAGGTCACTGTTGTGGGAGTATTTCATGGACACCCAAGGAAACAGTCACCATAAGGAAAGGAAAAAGCAGAACACTAATGTACAAAGACAGAGCATGGAGCTTCATGGAAGAGGAGCTGGTTACAGCAAATCTGGTGGAAACTGGGAGCCCCTTGAATGACCTTAGCATGGAGAGCTGGCCCTGAGGAAGAGTGGCTGAACAAGTGAGGGAAAACTAAAAAGTTCAGTTTGTGAGCTCAAGTATGAAGCTACTTTGGAAGCAAACATTAACAATGAGAGAGTAGGGTACTCTGCAGAAAAACAACTACAGGGTATTTTCTTGATAACAGTTATAATTATAAAAGCAAGAGCCTAACTCAAGTCGTCCCACTTTGAATATGATTGTCACCAAGGACATGTCCATTCCACCACGTGTAAATGCTTCAGAAGTCGCAATAGCACTCCAGTCCTGCGTTATTGAAACCCAGGAGCATGGCAGCCCAGGAAGCCCCCAAGAACACAGCAAACTGACATGGGTTATACCAATTTAAATTCCAAGAAAGAGTGTGTATACATAAAGGAAAATTTCAAAAGCAAGAAACATTAAAAGAAAACAAGAAACTAAAGTTATTAAGAAGCTAAACTTAGTCTTAGGAATTAAAAAGCTGGGGCAAAACAAAAAGTTTTGGAGATGAAGGGTGGTGATGGTTGTACAAAGTGAATGTCCTGAAGACCACAGAATTGTACACTTAAAAATAGTTAAAATGGTCAATTTTGTTATGTATATTTTATTTCAAAAAAGAGAGAAAAAAAACTTCAGTTGAGACTGCATGTAGCTGTGATGAATCAATCAATAAAAATTATTTATTAGATAAAAAAGAAATTAAGAACTAAACTTAGTCAATCTAATCACAATTACTGCTTGCATTCTTCCTGTGTTTTAAAATGTTTTTCCTAAAGCACAGATTATTTTATAGTGGTAATCTGTCTATAACTTACTTTTCTTTTACTTAACATTCTTTGGAGGTCATTTTTCCAATTACTTCAATCTGTCAGTGTACATTATTTTAGGAGCTGCATAATAACTCATGAAGTATACCTAGCATAGGAAATTTAGCCACTAAGAGACATTTTGATTGCTTACTAATACTTGATATTATTAAAATGGTGGGGGACATCTCAGGGCATATTTTTACTTATATCTAGATTTATTTCCTTAGGCAAGATTTCTAAACGTGAAATTATGAAAGTTAACATTTATTTAACATATATGGCCAAATTTATCCTCAAAAGGTTAATTCACCACACCTTTTAAAGCATGAAGCATCAGATTTGGAAATCGTTGATAATTTGAAAGGTGAAAATGTCACATGATTATTTGGATTTCTGTCAATACTGATCATTGCCACATGTTTATAAACTGGCCATGTTTTCTCTTGTAAATTATCTGTTCCTGGCTTTTGCCCAATTATCTACTGATCTACTTAAATTTGCCTACAAGACGTATCACATGACAGTCATTAAACCTAACCATTTTGGGATGACATAGTGTAAACTATTTCAGTTTTCACACGTATTAACCACCACTGGAGGGAAGGAAAGAAAAGAGAGTAATTTGACAGTAATTCCAAGACAGGGAGGTGCCCCTTAGAGGATTACTACAAAGGAAGAAAGAAAATACCTGGCTTCATTTTAGGCATCCCCATCTCCAAAACCACGCTGGGGGTATGCACCTCACTGTAGTAAATCAGGAGTTCCACGTCCCGATCAAACTTGTGTCCAGCAGCCAGGGAAACCTGAGTTGGGGACAGGTAAAGGAGCCACATTAGAATCATCACTGCTTGCTACTTGGGGCTGAGGTCAGGGCTACAGTCCTCCTCCATGAGAGACATGACCAGGAACAGAGGTGAGGCTGGAGAGAAGGCTCTGGAGATTAAATGAGGATATGGAAGGAGCATGTGGGACCCCCTCTGGGTTATCATTTGGGAAGAACTGGGTGGGGACTAAGTCAAGACTCAAGCAACAGAGGAACTGACAACAGCAGTATTCTCTCATTAACTACCTGAGCGGAAGTCTTGTCTTCTCCTAGGTACTCAGTGGGACTCAAGGGGCAGTTGGATTGGACCTTCTCAATGCCATGCTTGGAATCTATGGTGGCGACCATGCTAAGTGTGTAGGGCAGGTCCTCCACAGGGACTATAGGAGTCTTCACATTAAGGCAACTGTCCTTCGACGAACCTATAAAAAGTGACCTAGTTCTGTTTTCCTTGCCAACACTTTTTACGACACTCTCAACCTTAAGAAAATTTCCCCATTTATGTCACCCACCACTAGTATTCAAAGGGGAGAGATACTCACCAGAGAATTGGTATCTAGGATTCAGGACAGCTGGGAGGACAAAGCGCAGAGCCCCATCTGTTTCCAGAGGCAGCTCCTGCACATACTTCAGGGTGACTGCCGCCTTCGACCCAGGTTGGAGGTTACCCACATTGCAAGAGAAGACATCCCTGGAGCTGCTGTCCTCCTCCAATAAGAAGGCCTGGTGGCCCCAGGAGATGGCTTTCTCGTAGTTGGTGCGGGCCTGAGAAGAACAGGGCAAGGGATGGGAAAGAAAGGGAACATCCAAGGTGACATGGCTGAAAAAGAGACGAGTAGTGCAGAGTGACTGTGATTGGTCTTGTCTAATTACAGCTATACTTTGAATGCCTCTGATTGATTTTTCCCCCCAAATGATTTTAGAAAAATGGCGGTTAGAAAAGAGTGGAAGAAAGAGCTTTCAACATCAGCATGTTTTGTGAAAATATATTTAGTAGAGATCATAAAGAGTATGCATTAAGAAAATAAGAAGGGAGTAGGTAATGTAATAAGAAGGGAGGAGGTAATCTCTACTACCTTCATCTTGTCTTGTAATTCTGCTACAATTTTCTTCCCATCCACCAAGGCCTCAAAGCTGTAAACAGCAGAGTCTTCGTCCATGGGGAACAGAAAGACGGCCTCCAAAGGAACTTTCTCCGCATTCTCATAGTTCAAAGTTGCAGACACATCAGCCACAAACTCGTAAATGGACACGCTCACAGAGATACTCTTCAGTGGCACTGTAGATAGACCAGAATTCAAGTTCATCAAGCTTCAGTAGGATGCCTCCTTGTAGAGCAAGCCTTGTGCTACATGCCGAAGATTCAATGGCCAGTAAGAGTCACAAAGTAAGCTTACCTGGCTCCCGTTGGAGGGTGAGTAGGCCATAGAAGTGCACCATGGTGATGCAAGATTTCTGCAGAAAAGACATATCACAAACAGGGAGACATGTTGGAAGTTATCTGTTCAAACACCAGTACTTTATGTGCTTTTCTCTGGCATAAGAATACAGTCAAAGGGTTAATGTTGGAGTTAGGAAGTTGGAACCTTTAAAAAAAGGAGACAAAGAATTTCCATCAAAAGGCTCCCTTTAAATGGCAGTTCTAGGTGGGGAAGGTATAAGATTCACTGGTATCTACTAAACAGGAAATCTCTGAAACACCCTGAGGCTGTTTCAAATACCAATTCCACTTTCTCAAAAGTGTGTTTAATTCACCACTCCTTAGGCATATGGAACAGGTGTCACTAACTCATCTGAGTCTCAGTATTTTCTTTCTAAAATGAGTAGCATAATATCCACACATCATATATGAATTAATACATGTGAAGTCCCTAGAATAGCACATGGCCCATAGGAGGTATTTATTCAATGATGACAGACATCACTATTGTCCCTATTATTGTTGTAACTGTTAATCAATAAACCTCTGCCGTCATTCACTTTGGATCATGGCATTCAGGGACGTGCTGCATGTGAGAAGCTGTGTGATCCAAGATGGACTCCTGCCACAGGCCATTTATCTTGTGGCTTTTCTTTGGGACTCAAAATTAAAAGATACGAGTATATTTGTTTGTATGCATCCAAGATATTCTAATATATATAAATATTATATATGCACATAGCCTACATTGGCACCCCAACTAAACAGCACCAGTAAATCAGGCTTTTCATTCCATATCTGTTATTTTGAGAAATTGGATAAAAACTGAGTGTGGCAAAATGACTCACAATTTGACAGCAATGCAGAGGACAGCGGCAGGTGTGAGGAGAGAAGAGGATGCTCAGAAAAGGGCTTCTACGCAGACCTCTGACCTGGGCAAGTTCTCTGGTAGAACAGGCTGGGCTGGGGCAGGGAAGAATTTCCAATAACTCATTAAGCAGACAGCCTAAAGCAGGAGACTCACACAGGAGTGAAACAGCTGAAAGAGAAGCTCTCAGGCTAAGCAATACTCACCAGTGGTGGCTTGAGTAAAAGAGGGAGACGCAGAGGGTGTCCCCTACAAGGAGATAGCCTTCACTTCCTGATTCTAAGCTCAGAAAAAAAATCCTCCGTTGAGGAAAACTTGCTATTCTGCACCCTTGCCCCCACTCTTCCGAGTACAAACAAAATTAGTTTGGGTCAGAATTAGTTCTGTCTTTCAGGATGGCACTTCAGAAAGGCAACTTGCAAGGCTTAGGTAGAGACTGGCCACCAAGCTGAAAGCCATGAATCTGAGGCAGCTGGGAGAATACAAGTCTTCTGACCTAGCCAGGTAGCTGCTTCGGGAATGCAGTCCCAGCAGGGGCTGCTCAGCGGCTAGAAGGGAGGGAGGGGAGCTGGGTGGCACTACCGGCCACACACACCGCTGCGACCTGTGGCAGGGGTTGAAGTGGAGAACCCGGAACCAGACAAGAAGGAGGTTTGGGGTAAGAAGTGGGGCTTGGATAAAATCAGAGATTGATTTAACCTTTCCATTTCAGTCCCAGATTTCCAATGTCCACATATTTACAGAAGGGACTGCGTCAGTCTCTTACATTTCTATATAGAAGGGCTTAGAGGCTGCAGTTGAGTGGAGTAGATGGAGGCTTACAGCCTCATTTCCTTAGCTTACACTATCTTGAAATTCAGAAAACATCAATTGTGTATATCAAAGAAAGAAAGGGGGTGAAAAAGTAAAGTAAAAGAGAAGGAAAGTAGGAAGAAGGGCCTTCAGATTAGGAGATGCCTAAATCCCTCCTTCAGCCTCCAAAAGATTTCCCTAAACTACCAAACTTGCAGGAAACCTTCCTGGGGTTCATACATCAGGATGAAATCCTCCACCCGTGGGGCGTGCAGTTCAAGGAGCCCCTACAAATTTGGGCACTGGGGAAAGGGAGCTAGAATGCGCAGCTCTCAGTCTTCCAGAGCAGGGGATGGAGCCAGGCCCTGCACCGACAGCTTGGTCCCCTACCTTTTTCTCCTGCAATCCGGAGTGCTCTGAGTCACAGCGGAGTGAAAAACAGCTGCGGTCACAATTTCCGGAAAGAACCGCCCCTTTCTAGGGACCGTTTATAAAGTAGGAACTACAAGACTAAGGGATCAACGGAAAATTATTAAACAAATAATCGAACTTTCGCTTGTTTGTATCAAAGGAAAAGTCTTCGAGTTTGGAACGTTTGCTTTTTTTATTTGCTCTTTGCTAAGGAACAATCAGAGAACCGGCAAAGAGAGAAAGGGAAAATGCTGCAACAGGAACAACATCAACAATGACATGAAAAACTGCATATTTCTGTAAAAGCTTAATTGCCAAGGGCTTAACTGTGCCCTGGGCCCTGTTAATCAAAGCTTTATGGACATTATATCCTTGACACCTTATCTCTAATGTGAGTAATTTTTCCCCAAGTTGCACCTTCCCTACAGCACGGGGAAAGATAAGGAGATAGTGCAAGGCACACACATCTGCTCTAATGAGAGAAGCTCTAGCCAGGGAATCCCTAGTCTTCCTGTCATGGGTCACTTATGGGATCCTGAAACCAAATGTTTGGGTTAACAATGTAAGTAACTGAGAATGTCTATGCTCATTTACCTGGCTAAAGCACATTAGAAGTTATCAAGGTCCCCATGACTTCTTTATTTCAAAACATTCTATTAAATCTGGGAATTAAAGTGTCATATTGCTGTAGAGAATCTATAGGGAAAGAATACATGATACATATGGAAAACACAGCTTCATTTTGGTGTCTGTGGTGTATTTTTTGTGGATATGTTACTCTCCCCAAGTTATTTGTTCTCTCATCTGAAACATGGGGATAATGACATACCTCCACTGATTGCTTTTTTTGAGATCTAATGAATCTTAGTGGCCATAAAAGTTATATATATATATATATACACACACCCGCATTTATATACATGCATGTGCATGCATAGATGTATATATGTGTATGTATGTACACCACACATGTATATACAGTTACACGCATGTAATATATGCACATACAGTAAAGCATAACATAAGCACAAATTCTATTTTATCAGTACTGGGCCCTACAACCATGTTTTTTAGATGTACTGAACTAATTATGAGAGGAAATTATCCTTTTCTCTGGAGAGAAATCATGTCTGGTATTGTTCCTTGTGACTGTGCCTTCTTTCCATTGACTGAAACATCTGAGCAACAAAAGGGAGGAGCTGGAAATGTGGGCAGAGTTCATCATCTGATCCTGCTGGGCTTAGAGCTTAGCACTAAAAGTCTGCCACAGACCAGGCATGCAGCATGGTTAGAGGGCACTGAATCAGGAAACACACAGAAGATGCTGGTTGTTGAAAAGACAACTATGTGAAAATTCCCGTAACCGAGCACAATATACACAATTAAACCAACATAGATGAGGTATCTTCACTTAAAAGTCTGTCCTTGTGCCTTAGTGTTGCCAGGCATTCCTCAAGATTGATTCTCACCTTCTTTATACTAATAGGGACCCCAAGTTTCACAATGTCTATGACCATTCAGAATGAAAACATTGCCCAGCCTCCCTTAAAGCTGGTATGGCCTTGTAACTAAGCTCTGGCCAATAGGGTACAAGAAATAATTGCAACACCATGTCATGCCCTTTCAAAGAAAAGAGGATGGCCTCCCATTCACTTTACTCTCTTCCTGCTCACTGGTGTGAATGCAGGTATATCCTGAGCCAGCTTGAACCATAAAGACTAGACCATAAAGCCTAGAGTATTTCCCCTAAAACTGGAGAAGCAACAAGATAGAAAGATCCTGAGTCCCTGACACTCTCATAGAGCAAGTCACCGTATCATCACAGAATTTTACAGGATAAAGTAATGAATTTCTCCATGGTTTATTACAGCTCTTTGGGTCCTTATCCTACCCTAATACATTTGATTATGATTAATTAAAAAGTAGGCTTTTAAGGAAACTGTCTTCTTCGGAATATGAAAAGCACATTTGCTTATAATGGAAATAGAAATCTGTATATTATGAGAACAATATCCAATTTACTTTAGCTCCCACCACTGTAACACATGTGTCCTGAATTATGCTGGTGTGTGTTGATTATGTTTATCATAGTTTGCTATTTATTTTTCTTTACTTCTTCTGAGAGCCATTTCCCTTCCTGAAATAAAAAGGCTGTCATAGAGTTCTTAGCACTCTATGACACTCTGTTCTGGTTCAGAACAGGCTTTCAATAAACTGTTTTGCTCATTGTCTCATTTCTGTTATTCTCTTTCTTCGATGTTCTATATCTTTATCATCACGGAGAGTTTTAAGTGTACGGTTCTGCTTGTTGTCTCTCCTCTGATGTTTCCATAGCAATTCATCTAAAACTTCCTGCTGTTCTTATCAAACCTGAGCCCTTTATGTGCTCTTAAAATTGTAAACCTTTAAGAAAATAAGTTTTTAAAATGCATGAAGTTATTTGATTAATTTATAAATACATATGAATTCCAGTGGTTGAATATACGCTTAGGCCTTGTAATTGCAATCTACTATCGATATTGGAGAATGGATTTCAAAAGATCAAATAACAAATGCTCAGACATGTGCACAAATCTTATAAGCATTTATTACATATTGGTGATAACAATTATAATAGGTATAATTTTCATAAGATCACTGATAACTTGGAAATTTCATGTTTGAAGATATCACATACAACCTGGGCTCAGCAGAAACTTATAAATGAATGGATAGGTAGGGTGGATTTACAAATATGTATAGTACTATATATTGAGTTCCTACTTGAAACCAGTGCTAATTATTTTACATAGTATGTCAAATTACATTAATTACAGACAGGAATAAAGCTGGGTCATCACAAATCACTTAGTTGTTTGTCAGAAATTTCTTGGATAATGGTGACCATTGCTTAAGAGGAGCAATTTTCATTGATTAGAAGCAAATATGCTCCTGACAAACCCAAAGCATAGACAAATGCCAAAGGAGATAGGCAGGATGCAGCTCAAGGGTCTAAAAATCTATGAGGGCTTGTAAAGAACATACGTTGCTCATCCAGAGGTTCAGAAAATTGTAGAGAAAACAAGAAACCAGGTTCTAATTTATCAGGATCAACTTGACTCTGTCACAGAATTGAGTCTGTGAGCTTCAGATTCAGTCTGGGGCTTAATTCCTACCTCTAGTACTTAATAGTTGTATAATCATGAGAAAGCAATTTAACTACTCTGAGTTCATGTCATCATTTGTCATAGAATGTAATACTATCCTTATTTTAAAGATAAGCAAATTGAAGGCACGGCAGAGTCACAGAATTAGTAAGTAAGAGCCTAGATGTTAAACAAAATCTGCCAGGCTTAAAATCTTGTCTTCCCTTATTGGCTCCTCTCATCCAAGCAGAGAACAATAGAATTCTCTATCTTTTTCAAGGTTATGTTAGGAATATCATCATATGTAATCCTTACACAATTGTGTGAGGTAAGTATTATCTCAGTTCGTCAAAAACAAACATTAGTGGATACTCACTATATACCAAGCACAATATAAAAACATCCCACATTTTGGCAATATTTTCCCATTCACTGGATCTTGATTTCCAACATCTAACTACTTTTGCCATTTATCCCCTACATTTTCTTAGTTTAAAAGTCACATAGTACACTCCACTTTTCTGTACTGAGTTATTAAACCTCTTTTTCTAGGAATATGTTAAAATAACTACACAGCAGTTAACTCTATTTGCCCTCTGTTCATTAAGCCTAACTGAAATTGTTCAGAAACCTCCCAAGATACCTATGTGAAGAGATGACTAATCCGGATCTTGGAGGCCACCCAGTGGCCATGCACTTGTTCTTTAACAACTAAGGCAAACATACAAACTCATTTCAGGTCCAGATGATCCCCTAGAGAAAGCAGACGAAAGGATCCTGGGGTGGGGAGTTGGGATACTGGGGAGAATGAAGAATAGTAGCTTTCCCCCAACAAGAAACCCCAAAGGACCCCAAAATTCAAAGAACTCAATACAATAAACAGAATCTCTATAGACTTGATGCCTTAAGACAGTAATAGAGTACATCAATTTCATTAAGATCTTGTGATAACACTTTTCCAGATTTGATTATCACATGCTCTAAGACATATGATCTAAATCTGGTACCTAAGATTGTGTGAATAATTTTGTCCTATGTAAGATATTTTTTACAATAATTCCTTTTCACATTCTTTAGTTGTTGCTGTGACAGAACTTTCCACTAATCATAATTTTGTTCTTTTCTTTCTCTTCAGAAAGGTCCACTTGCCTTCCTTAACTCTCCTCCAGCGAGAGGTAATTATGAGTTACAGCAATTTTGAAGATATTCAAAGCTCATCCTATCTCTCCTAGCTCAGCAATTGGGTACTCTACATTTCAATGAATATCTAAATTCCTTTTACTAGGCATGGTATCTGAAGCCTAAAGTAGGCTGACTACAACCATTGTTGGCTGGGGTTAAGAAAAAAGACTTAAAATAGTTGAAGGACCAAAGGAATAATTCTAGAGAATTTAAAAAGTTGATCGAAATAAACACACTTGTTGGATGCTGCTATTTCTTAAATCCTAGTGATACAATGATGAGCAAGAATAAACATGGTCTCTTCATAGAACTCACAGTCAGATAATATCCATAAATTCATTTCCAACTTTTCATTCATTCATTCCTCTAACAAATATTTAAATTCCAGCTATTCAGAAGTACTATGGTACGTGCTGCAGATTCAATGACAAATTATAGCCACTACTTTCAGGGATCTAACAGTCTAACAGAACCTGAACTACATTCCTTCAGTATTTCCTGTGTATATGTGGATTATATTCATCTATCTTACCACTTCCATATTTTTAGAGGCTAAAATTATCAATCAATAACTATTACTTATAAAGAGAATCAGAGAAATTGACCAGGAATTGTAAGTGGAAATAAGGGCAATTATTAGTTTTCATATTTGGGAGTATCAAAAATAAATACATCAAAAAAGTAAAAACTGGAAATGAAAATATCCTTCTTGAATGATTCACAAGAGCCTTTATATTCAAGCATT